TGTGGACCAATGGGATGTTAGTCTGTCCTTCCCGGGCTTGGAACCAGAGGTCTTCTTCTTGCCCTCTAAGAAGTGTTTGGCCATTGTCCTAGCATTTCTATCTGATGGCGGACAGTTTATTTGTGTTCGTCCACCAAGATTCAATCAAAATGTAGCAAACCTTTGTCCACTGTTGTGGTCAGAGAGGGGCCCCACCATAAAACTGGGCTCTGGAATGTGCTGTTCACCACATTAGAGAGCACTCTGTCCCAACCACAAGAATATGGAAATACCACCTAATCACACTGCAAAAAAAAAAATTATGTTGTTCCTCAGTATTTCATTTTACAGTGCAAATGTCTAAAGATTCCTAAATCAAGATACAGTGGAGATCAAAATTAGAGAACAACCTACAATTTACTAAATTTCAAGGTCACTGCTTAGTCCTATTTGATGTTATCCTAACAGGAGTAGAAGGCAAGTTTTTTAAAGCATTTTTCATAAATTAATTGTATTCCGAAGCACAGTATAAAAAAAATTACACAAGATATTTGAAAAATAACCTTACCTTGTGCTAATTTCCTTAATTATATGACAAACCCTATTTAACTGGCAGCATTCCTCTTTTTCTTTCTTTCTTTCGTCTAGTTGAGAAAGCAAGCTGCCACAGAACTACAGGCCCTGAAAGCAGAACTGATGCAAAAGAGAGCTCAGTTATAAAGAAACACAGAATACATGTCTATGTGCTCAGCATTAGGTTTCGTAGAAATTAGATTTGAAATGTGTTTGTATTGTCTGTATCTCAGAAGATCAAAGTGTCTGAGGTTCTTAAAGACTTACAGGAACACAATACGTGAATATGTTCTCTAAATGTAACTGTTTAGTGCAGGGGTTCCCAACCACATTCCTGGCACTAAAGTTTTACCGATGCATTTCTCAACTTCCAAACCACAACCAGGATACCTTTGGCAATATTACAAATGCATTAAGTCCAAACATGATGGAAAAAGATCAAACTGTCATGCATGCATTCATTTGTCCATTAACAGCTGTGTTTGTGTTGCACTACACATAGCTATTATTGAGAATACTTATTCTTCTGAATAAGTATGAGATGGGTGTGTTGTAGTTCGTTCCGGTTTTAATGTTTGAAAACAGTTATGCACCTGGAGGTCCTAAGGAATTTTTATGGTGGTCACAGGACACAACTATAGGAATCAGTCTCTAGATGGGTGAAGGGCAGAAACTGCATGTGGACCAATGGGATGTTAGTCTGTCCTTCCCGGGCTTGGAACCAGAGGTCTTCTTCTTGCCCTCTAAGAAGTGTTTGGCCATTGTCCTAGCATTTCTATCTGATGACGGACAGTTTATTTGTATTCGTCCACCAAGATCCAATCAAAATGTAGCAAACCTTTGTCCACTGTTGTGGTCAGAGAGGGGCCCCACCATAAAACTGGGCTCTGGAATGTGCTGTTCACCACATTAGAGAGCACTCTGTCCCAACCACAAGAATATGGAAATACCACCTAATCACACTGCAAAAAAAAAAATTATGTTGTTCCTCAGTATTTCATTTTACAGTGCAAATGTCTAAAGATTCCTAAATCAAGATACAGTGGAGATCAAAATTAGAGAACAACCTACAATTTACTAAATTTCAAGGTCACTGCTTAGTCCTATTTGATGTTATCCTAACAGGAGTAGAAGGCAAGTTTTTTTAAGCATTTTTCATAAATTAATTGTATTCCGAAGCACAGTATAAAAAAAATTACACAAGATATTTGAAAAAGAACCTTGTGCTAATTTCCTTAATTATATGACAAACCCTATTTAACTGGCAGCATTCCTCTAATTATCACTGCGTTTGCAAGATGGCGGGCCGCTCTAAGGAGACTGTAACCTTGCAACAGCAGTTTGTCCAGATGAAGGCCAACGAGATGACCCTTTCAGCCATAGCAAGAGAAGTTGGTCATTCCAAATCTGTGATTTCTAGAATATTGCAGCTTTACATTGACACAAATTCATTCAAGTCCCCCAAAAAGGCTGGTCGTCCAAGTTAGAGACAAATAAATAAGTAAAACAAATAACCAAGAAGACAGGTTAATGTGGAGACAGACTCTGGGGAATCGGTTCAACACTGCAGCTGGAATCTCTCACCAGTTCAGCACTGAACAGGGTATGGATCTGTCTCGGCACATTTAAGAGAAGTCGGACTGAAAGTGCACTCTGCAGTGACGAAGCCTCTCATCAGCTGAAAGAATCAAAAGGCTAAGCTCACCTTTGCTGAGGAGCATGTTGTGTGGAGAGAGGAGAACTGGTCCAAAGTTCACTTTAGTGATGAGAGCAAGTTTAATTTATTTGGGTCTGATGGGAAACATTATGTTCGATGTCAAACTGGGGAAAGACTGAACCCAGAGTGCGTAAAGAAGTCTTATACACTTATACAGATACATGACAGGGTGAATGCAAATGTTTATCAGAACCTCCTGTGACAACATGCGGTTCCTTCCCTGCATTCATCGCCTAATCAGCCAGCAGTTTCCATGCAGAACAATGCCCTTGTCACACTGCAAAATGGGTAAAGGTTTCTTGAAGCTGAAAACATTCAAATAATGAAATGGCCGGCCCAGAGTCCAGATCTAAACCCAATCGAAAATCCTTGGCAACAAAGTTATGGCTAAGAAACCCACTTAGTCACCGAACTGTGGAAGAAACTGGAAGAAGAGTGGACCAAGATCACACCAGAGCAGTGTACGAGACTAGCGATGTCCTGCGGCTGTAGATGTGCTGAAGTCATTCAAAGCAAGGGCCTGTTCACTTCCTACTATAATTTTGGACTGCTGTAACCTTCAGACATTTTTGTTGTGATTGTAGCATGAATCTTTCTTCATGCTACAATCATTGCTGTTCTCTATTTTTGCTCACTGTGTTTTCCACAAAATAAAGGGTTTTTGTTGAAGTGCCTTGGTTATGTTGTAAAACACTGTTCTACTAGCATGGTTTAGTAATCTAAAATTCCTTCAAATTTTGAACAATGAAGATTATATTATATCTGGGAAAAAAAAATCAATTGTTCATAAATTTTTCTCTAATTTTGATTTCCACTGTACATTTACTTGAGAAGCAAAAATACATCATGTTTTCTGTGAAACTGATCAAAATGAAGTGAGTTTATGATTAAAACAGAAACAAATGTATCTGTCAGTGGACTTAGAAAACTTAATTCAAAGAGAAAACTAGTTTTCATACCTCACTGACAGACATTAGTTCTTGTTTTAAGCATAAATTTGCTTAATTTTGTTCAATTTCTCAGAAAACAAGACTTCAACTATCTTCATTTTGCATCTCAAGTAAATGTATCTTGATTTAAAGATGTTTAGGTGCTAATTTCCTTAATTATATGACAAACCCTATTTAACTGGCAGCATTCCTCTAATTATCACTGCGTTTGCAAGATGGCGGGCCGCTCTAAGGAGACTGTAACCTTGCAACAGCAGTTTGTCCAGATGAAGGCCAACGAGATGACCCTTTCAGCCATAGCAAGAGAAGTTGGTCATTCCAAATCTGTGATTTCTAGAATATTGCAGCTTTACATTGACACAAATTCATTCAAGTCCCCCAAAAAGGCTGGTCGTCCAAGTTAGAGACAAATAAATGAGTAAGTAAAACAAATAACCAAGAAGACAGGTTAATGTGGAGACTCTCAATGGGGAATCGGTTCAACACTGCAGCTGGAATTGCTCTTTAGTTGATGAACAGGGTATGGATTTGTCTCGGCACGTTTAAGAGAAGTCGGACTGAAAGTGCACTCGGCAGTGACAAAGCCTCTCATCAGCAGAAAGAATCAGAAGGCTAGACTAACCTTTGCTGAGGAGCATGTTGTGTGGAGAGAGGAGAACTGGTCCAAAGTTCACTTTAGTGATGAGAGCAAGTTTAATTTATTTGGGTCTGATGGGAAACATTATGTTCGATGTCAAACTGGGGAAAGACTGAACCCAGAGTGCGTAAAGAAGTCTTATACACTTATACAGATACATGACAGGGTGAATGCAAATGTTTATCAGAACCTCCTGTGACAACATGCGGTTCCTTCCCTGCATTCATCGCCTAATCAGCCAGCAGTTTCCATGCAGAACAATGCCCTTGTCACACTGCAAAATGGGTAAAGGTTTCTTGAAGCTGAAAACATTCAAATAATGAAATGGCCGGCCCAGAGTCCAGATCTAAACCCAATCGAAAATCCTTGGCAACAAAGTTATGGCTAAGAAACCCACTTAGTCACCGAACTGTGGAAGAAACTGGAAGAAGAGTGGACCAAGATCACACCAGAGCAGTGTACGAGACTAGCGATGTCCTGCGGCTGTAGATGTGCTGAAGTCATTCAAAGCAAGGGCCTGTTCACTTCCTACTATAATTTTGGACTGCTGTAACCTTCAGACATTTTTGTTGTGATTGTAGCATGAATCTTTCTTCATGCTACAATCATTGCTGTTCTCTATTTTTGCTCACTGTGTTTTCCACAAAATAAAGGGTTTTTGTTGAAGTGCCTTGGTTATGTTGTAAAACACTGTTCTACTAGCATGGTTTAGTAATCTAAAATTCCTTCAAATTTTGAACAATGAAGATTATATTATATCTGGGAAAAAAAAATCAATTGTTCATAAATTTTTCTCTAATTTTGATTTCCACTGTACATTTACTTGAGAAGCAAAAATACATCATGTTTTCTGTGAAACTGATCAAAATGAAGTGAGTTTATGATTAAAACAGAAACAAATGTATCTGTCAGTGGACTTAGAAAACTTAATTCAAAGAGAAAACTAGTTTTCATACCTCACTGACAGACATTAGTTCTTGTTTTAAGCATAAATTTGCTTAATTTTGTTCAATTTCTCAGAAAACAAGACTTCAACTATCTTCATTTTGCATCTCAAGTAAATGTATCTTGATTTAAAGATGTTTAGATATCTGAATTGGAAAACAAGACAAAAATACTGAGGAAGTTTTTTTTTTCTGCTCTCTGCTCTGATTGGAACGACTAATTACCTTTTAAAACCTGCAGAACCCTGCCTTATGCTGATTTAGAATCATCATATGCAGTATTGAACAGCAAATTATGGTCATGCAAATGATTAAATTTAGTAAATGTGGCAATGTCAATTAATGTTCAATTAAATAAAAAGGTTTTAGGCTTGCTGAAATGGAGTGTGCCATTTATTCAGTGTGTGATAAGACGGCAGCAGACTCCCTGTGTTCACTGGGTGTAAGGGCGTTCCACATGTCCATCGTTCTTTGCTGGGCGATTGGATCACCACTGTAGTCCAGGAGATTTCCGTTCCACATTCCCATTCCTTTCAGGCCACGCTGTGCCACATAGGCAGCTTTCAGAGCAATGCTTTCAGGGTCATCATACCACACCTGATGGACCCTGCCTTCTGTGTCCTGTAAATAAAATCTTATTCATTTTAGGGAAAAGATAACATGTCTAACAGTGAAACTGTCCACTTGAAAATGTTGTTTTTACAAGTGTATTTAAGCAGGTATTCAACTTTTGATAAGACACATACAGAACTGATACAGTACCTTGTAATTATAATATGGAGCTCGCTGGTTCTCATCCCACAGTCTTCCTGATATTGAGCTGTTGATCTGTTTCATCATGATGCTGTAGGGAATTTGTTTGCCGGATGCATCGCTACATGGAGCCCCTCTGAATGGCACTTTTGGAATTGTACATATTCCTTCCTGTTATAATAACAAAGAGAGTGCCAAACAGCATAACAGTTTAAAAAAAACATAATTGATCTATTCTATTGACTACCCAACTCAACCAAATTTACATACCATTAGCTTACTGTTGTACTATGACAATGAACCATAGATTCAGTGTTATTACTCCTATGTATTAATGTGTATTTGTTTAGTCAAGCAGCCACGATGCAGAAAAAAAATACTCAGCAATGAAGGGGTGAAACTCTAAAACATCAAGAGTGCAAAACAGACACACCCACTCACACACGCACGCACACACACTTATACACACAAACACCTATAAACTGGTATGAATGTAACAGCAAATATGTCAAATAAAATCAATAATTCAACCACAATGCAGTAAAAAAGTGGACCGCATGGAAGGGGTTACACTCTAAAACATCAAGAGTGCAAAACAGACACGCACTCACAGACACAAACACGCACATACACTATTATACACACTCAAATGAATTGGTATGGCTATAACCATATTGAGTCCAAATTGAGTCAGAAGTCTGAAATAAGAGGTTGAAATCAGATTAGGACCCAGAAGGATTAAACTCTGATAAAGCATTCCTGTTCATTTTTGTTACAGTTTTATAGAATTTTAATGCTTTGTGTAACTAAATGCTTTCTCTGTGACTGGAGTAATAATAATGCAAAAACTGACATTTCAGATCAAAATGTCAAAAAAATATATATATAAACCTTTGACAAAAAGTAGTCTTTGAGAATGTCTTAATATACATTCAAGTACACAACTTAATATAAGTAAGCGGTTATGTCTAAAAACAACTAGGGCATTCACAAGCCTCTCTATATTGTGCTATACAGGCACTTAGTGCAGGGTTGCCAGATTTTCACTACAAAACCCGCCCAATTGCTACTCAAAACTAGCCCAATCACGTTTCGAGGGGGATCCTCTGGTAAAAAACGCATTCTGGTGGGGTAAAATACACGTTTATGGTGGGTTTCTCCTGGTAAAATGCACATTTTAGGCACTAAATATCACGTTATTGGACGTCGCTTAAACCCGCGGACATGAAAATCAACCCGCGGCAACAGTGTTAATGTAGCCTAATTCCGCGGGGAAACCGCGGACTTGGCAACACTGATTTAGTGGTTACACCATGAATTTACATGTTTTTCTTTCTTTGCTCTCATGGCGCTAATCTGCATTCAAAAATTGAATTTTAAAGGCATAGTCTCTATTTTAATCTGAAATACTGCATGAATTGAAAAATAATTTTGAAAAGTTAGAAAACAAAAAAACTGTACTATTTTTAATGAAGGGGTGGGGGGGTCATGAAGACCATGAGTGTGACTTCCAAATGAAGAGCGCACAATTTGTGTTCATTGATCAGAATAAAGAAATTCAAACAGGTTTGGATTAACTTCAGTGTGAGTAAATGATGACAGAATTTTCATTTTTGGGTGAACTATCAATTAAAAAAAAGTTATTAGCCACACTTAAAAGAAAAAAAAAGAAAAAAGTCTGCATGCAATGGCATTCATTAGGCCTACATTACACGTTCAAGCAAAAGGTTTTTACAAAAATGTCTAATTAAGTAAACGAGTAAAGATGAAGTAAACGAGTAAAGATGTTGCATCATTTGTTTGCATATGCCATTTTGATAGTTTCTTATCTAATGCAATTCGGAAATTTTAAGTGTATGTATTTGACATTATACAGTGCGGCGCCATCAGCTGATCACTGGATGGGTCCGAGTGACTGTCACTCACCTCAAACGCCGGCTGGGATCGGACGGGTAGACAGAGTTCCTCTCGTGCACATGGGCAAGCGTTGGACCACACGGTCAAAGTTAGCACGAAGAGACATAGACATTCAGCACCCTGAACTTCCTCATACTTGTGAACAGGGAAGTTATATATTCTCTGAGGATTTAATGACTTTATATATGCCTTCTTGTGACATATATGACAAGATACTGCCTTCCTGAGGTCATCTTGAGGTTTCAAAGTTGAAAAAAAAAATTTATTAAGCAATATACACTACAGTCAAATGTTTGGACACACCTACTAATTCTTTATTTTAAGAAGGGGAGACTGTGACAACAACTTAACCCAACAACTTGTGTTCACTGTGCATCACTGTTGTCACATATGTGCAGAAAATGCTACAAAAAAAATTAAAAACCAAGAATGTGCAGGAACAGGCTGATTTTTCTGAAGAACAGTGGGCAGTTTAAATGATCAGAACAAACAAGAGCCTCATGAAAAAAAAAACTGCTGTAGATCATGCATGTAATAGCAATAAGGTAAAGTTCACTAGTTCACTTCCTTTTTCCACAGCACAGGATGTGTTCAATAAAGACATGAAATATTATGGCTGTTTGTGTGCTGTTAGCTTAATGTTTGTCTGTCATGACATTTGATGATATTTTATGACCATTTAATACAGAAAACCAAACAATTCCAATGGGTTCACATACTTTTTCTTGCCACTGTATGTCTAGATGAGTTTAGAATCTATGTGGATACAATTTGTGATTGTAAAAATATTGAGGTCATATCTTTCAAAATGTCCTCAGTATTTAAAATAATAATAATTATTATTATTATAAACTGGCCAAATCATGGTTTGCTTCAAATCTAAGAAGGTTCCTTTAATAAGGCTTAGGTGTTTAGGTTAAGCATACGTTAGGTATTGCAAATATAAGTAAGATATTGCAAATATCAGTGTACAACAGTTGTTCGGGACCTCAAATTTTGATTGGCCAGTTCCAAAGCTGCACATTAGAAATTCTATCAGCCAGGTCAATATTCATGATATTGTAGGTACTGATAAAAATCAGTTATTTCTGATTTCTAACTCTATGGCTACAATAAGATGACAGAACTAAGAAATGATACTGATAATGTGATCTCTAATTATAGATCAACTAGCAAAGAGATCTAAAATACTGAACACTAAAATATTGAAATAACTTTCATCGCCCCCATTTTTTAAAAAACGATATGATGGAGCCCACATAAAAGATCCCTCTTGCCAATGAAAACTGGATCAATGGCCTTGGTAGCAAAGAAAGCTGGTTGGTTATATCTTGGGTTTGGTCTTTGTTTAGTAGGAACTTGGCCCAGGTTTGCCACCTTCTGCTTGGTTGTAGGAGCTGGCAGAGCTGCCAGACTGGTCCTGGTGGTCAATGGACTGGTAGGCATCTCTGTTTCGAGTTATCCTTGGAAAACCTGAAATTAAAAAAGATAAAAAACTGTGAACCTTTGCATACTCAACAGTAATTTCAGTTTGCATTATTAAAATATACTGTTATAAAATACATCATAATTATACTTGTTTCAGAAATTGCATTCTAATTGAAAACGACTCAATAACATTCTCCAGCTGCATAAATGGAACATCGCAACACAATCTAATGGCAGTTTGTAACCGTTTTACATTTTTGCAAATTGCATGAATTCATACACAATCTCATTCCTTCATTTTTGTACGTCCCATTGACGGTTAGGGGTTTAGGGGTGGAATTAATGGTGGACCTTCATATATTCATGCTTTTTTTCCAAAAATATTAATTTTAGTATGATTCACTTCATATCAATTCATACAAATTCATGTTTTTCCATGAAATTGGGTTCAACATTCAGGCATGAGTTAATGTGAGTTAAACACACTTATCGCAAAACAATAAACTTACAGATGTTTTGTTCACACCATATCATTCCTGGACATCTGCAGCATATGTAATTTACACAGGTAGCACTGGAGCAATATGCTAGCCTAATCTTCTTTATTCAGCCTGAAGATTCCCTTATTATAGATTAACTGAAGAAATCCCATCGCACCTCAACAGAATACCAATGATGAGATGGTTTCACTGCATTGTGAGTGTATCAGGCACAGAGGTAAATGCTCTCAATTACATTATAGGCCTAATATCTCAGGCATGAGAAAGTGCTTTGTAAAAACAAAGCATCATTGAAGAAAAGGGATCAATTTGCTATTGCTTCCATTTAATAAAACAACTTGAGAAATCCAGTGTCAATAAATAATTTTAAAAAACACAATTCTCTTATATTGTGCTATAAAAATCCAGGCAAATATTGACTGCTAAGACAGTGTAGCAAATCAGCACTTCTGTGACCATTCAGGCAGAAAATTCAACATACAGCTAGAAAATGAACCCTCGTGTTTCACATAGTTTGGTTCTTAATAATGTTCTTGGAAGGTTTCAACACAGAGACCCAGCACCCAGACTCACAACAAACCCAAAACTTTATTTTCTCTTTAACACTTTATAATAATAATAATTACATTAACAAAATTAATTCGTTTTAAAAGGTGCACTCTGTTTATTTATTTTTTATCCCATTAAAATGTTTTTACATATTAAAAAAACACAATAATAATAATAATAATAATAATATTTACTTTTGAGGGTGGATATATTGATAACATGACCAACCAAATACTACTTCCTTTTGCTTTTGCACTATCAATTTCTGTCAATTAGTAAATCAAAGTAAATCCTACACCTTTTTTATTATAAGCCTTTTATACCTTTATTTTTATTTTAAGACTATGTGACAGGTTGCTGTAAAATAATAATAATAATAAAAAAAAAAGTTACAGAACAATTTAACCACGAATTTGGAAATATAGTAAATATTTTATCCATCTGTTTTCCACACCACTTGTCCTACTGTATGTCGAGTTGTGGGGGTGCGTGGAGCCTAGTGTCCCAGGCCATAGGCAGGGAAATAACCTGGATGCATGGCCAGTAAATATTTAATATTATATTAATCCATTATGTAAGGGATAATGCATGGCTAGCTGTGATTTGTGAAAACGATTTTAATGCACAACGTGGAGGCCAAGAACCACCCGACGCGAGCCGTACATTATCCCACTTACCATGGTAATTTCTACAAACAATTAAGTTGTTGTGAGTTTAGTTACAGTGATTTTACCTCCTCATTGCTGAGGAATATAATGTAGTGATCCAGTATCTAAACTATTTTATTAAAGTCGCTGAGCAGCGTTGACAATAAGTTTCTGTGCTCCTGAATGTTTCTCTGTGTGCACAGTGCGATCTCTGATCTCTCTCTCTCTCTCTAAATTCTGTAAATTTCTTCGTATTAAAATTTTGACACAGAGACTTCTTACAGAATTGATGATTCTTCTGAAACCTCATGTGTAAACGCACACACACACACACACACACACACACACACACACACACAGAGTACACAAATGTAATGAACATCAAGCAAAAGGAAATGCACAAATAACACACACAAAAAAAACACTTACACAAGACATTAAAATGTAGGAAATAATATGATGTGCTAAAAAACATAAATACCAAGACAATGTGAAGAAGAGCAAGAAAATAAGTCAACATGAAATACACCACGGCAGCCCAGAGAAGACAACTTCCTGTTTTAGAGAAAGACGAACAGGACTGCAGGAGGAAAAGGAGGGAAGGCTCAGTAGCGACGACTGAGCAGTGTGCTATCAGCACTGTCTGTGGTGCAGCGACTGTCCACGGATGTTTCCAGGTCTGAGAGACAGATACAGAAGACAACGAGACAGCAAGCAGGGCAGTGAATGAAGACAGGAAGTCAAGACAGAGCATGAAGGACAGGAACAAACACAATGATGATAGATGAATAATAAACACACAAAACAGGCCTGAATTTAGTGAAATGTGTCTTGAGTAGAATAACATTACTGGTTACAGTAAAACAACCATGTAGAAAATAATTTACAGTCAGTATAAACCCCAATGGATTTTGTATCCTGAAAACTAGAATTTCTGCAATAATCACGATTGACTTTACACTGTTCTGTTTATTGCAGTGTTTCTCAACTGGTGGGTCGCAACCCAAAAGTGGGTCGCGGAGTGTACAGTCAAAGAAACAACATCAACAACAAAAAACGTAATTCTAAATGTTTTTCTGATACGAGACTTTTATTTTGAAAGATGTGCGTGAAAGCTGTTGACCTTATTTTGCAGTTTAAGTAAAGACTGCCTGAGAAAAACGTGCTCTCCCGATTCAGTATCTGCGGTCAGATGAGATGTTGCCAGGCTTAATGTCAGCCTCATTTTTCTATCGTTATTTTTGTAACTTATGAAATAAAAAGTCTCTCACCTCAGAAAAATTAACTATCCTGTCCTGTCAGACGTTATACTATGCTTGTAGCACGCACTCTTCAATTGCACACGCAAATGCGGCGGTGCACGCTGTATATCATTTCACTAAAGCGCAAAAGAGAGCACGCAACTTGTGAAATAAAAGTAAAATACCAATAAATCACACAACTGGTATTTCGTGTGTTAGCTGGGAAGGATTTGCATGAAGGTATGATATTCATTCTATTCAGGAGCAGTTTTCATGTTTCATTAACAGTTCATGTTCATATTGTGTATTCACCATGGTAATTGTTGTTTCCATAACCCAAAAACGCCATGTTATTTTCACTTTGTGTTATTTTGTATATGTTTAAATGACTGTGGTGGCTCAAACCAACTTAATAAAAGTAATCTGATTACGTAACTCGCATTACTTGTAATGAGTTACCCCCAACACTGTATATATTATCATAAAGTGGGTCGCGGCTTGATGACCATGGAAAAATCAGTTGAGAAGCACTGGTTTATTGTACAGTACGGATACTTACCAACAAAATAAATGTATATGAACTGATTTGTGCTGAAATTATTTGATCATGTTAGTGTGAAGTGAATCAATGAAAGAAACAGTGGAGCAGCGAGGTTTTAACACCAGGCTCGAGTGAACTCACAATGGCGCAGCTCTCGCATACTTCACTTTCCCCCAAACGCCTCGATTTGCTGGTGTGCTTCACACTTGAGGATCAGCGCCCGTCGTTGGCTGCGAGCGGCTTGATTTCCTTCGGCGCATCTGAGGAGGAAGCCACCTTGAATGACTCCATGTCATCAATGGCTTCGGATGCTGAAGAGTGGGCGTGTTCCGGCTAAGAGCCCGAAACGCCGCCTCTGATGCAGACAACATGGGCCAGTGAGCTGATCTGCGTTCTTCAGGACTACCTCAGCCCTAGCAAACAGAGCTTATTCAGCAGCTGGCCAGGTTGGCTCACACGATGGTGGTGCTTCAAGTGTTCCAGGCCAAACTTCTCCGCACCATGAGTTCCACCACACCAGCCAGAGTTCTGATGCCTTTAGAGAGCTGCACACAGCGACTAACCTGGCTCTACGCGCTACCCCTTTACTGAGAGCAGTTCATATGCCAGGCAGAATGAACCAGGGGGCAGACATGCTGTCCAGGGATAAGGTAGCTCCAGGAGAATGGAGACTACATCCCCAAACGGTTCAAATTATTTGGTCTGTCTTCGGGAGGGCACAGGTGAACTTCTTCGCCTCAGAAGACAACTTTCACTGACCAATCTACTTTTCGAGACAGCGAGATGCCCTGACCCACGATTGGCACAGCGCTCGCCTGTACGCCTTACCCCCGATTGCCCTGCTTCCTCATGCCATCAGACGGGTCAGGGAAGTCAGATGTTCCGGGTCAGTTGATTCAGCTGCTATCGGCAGCCACTTGGGCGATACCACTGAGGGAGGACCTTCTCTCGCAAATGAAGGGCATGATTTGGCATCCCCGGCCAGAGCTGTGGAACCTTCATGTTTTGCCCCTCGAAGGGAGTCTTTGCAGCTCCCCGCGAGTGTAACTAATAATATTTTGGAGGCTAGAGCTCCTTCTAGAAGACGTCTTTATGCCCTTAAATGCTCAGTTTTCTCTGACTGGTGTGCAGCACGGAACGAGGACCCGTCCTCTTGTGATGTGTCCCACATGCTAACCTTTCTACAAAAGCTGCTGAATAAGGGGTGCACCTCTTCCACACTCAAAGTGACAGCCATCTCGGCAAATCATTCAAACTGTGGCTGGCCAATCAGTCTGACTTAGACTAATGACTTAGTCGTTAAGTTTCTGAGGGGAGCTCAGAGACTGAATCCTCCTCGTCCTCATACTGTGCCAACTTGGGACTTGTCTATAGTTCTCAGGGCCCTACGGCGCCCTTGCTTTGAGCCGCTCCAATTAGCTGACTTATGGCCCCTGTCACTTAAGACCGCCCTCCTTTTGGCTCTAGCATCGGTCAAGCGAGTGGGTGACCTGCAAGCACTGTCAGTCAGTGCTTTCTGTCTTGAGTTTGGGCCAAATGACTGTAGAGTCGTCCTCAAACCGAGACAAGCAGAGACAGGATAGTGGATGCTATAGCCATGACTTACGCTTCAGAAGGCTTGCAGTGCCCTATGGGTGTGAGGGCCCACTCCACCAGAGGAATGGCCTCCTCCTGGGCTTGGTCCAACGGGATTTGGTGATATTTGTGCAGCCACCAGCTGGTTGTCGCTGTCAACCTTTACCAGGTTTTATAACTTGGACGTCCCTGCCATGCAGGCACTGATTTTATCCACTTAATTATATCTAATCCCCTTATAAGTAGAGAGGGTTATGTTATGTAGTCCTCAGCCTAAACGGCTTGGGTCTCATTATTGACTCATGCTTACAGGAGCCCTCAGTAAGAGTGCTCCAGGGCTGGGCTCGCAGAGCGGCTTCGTTGTGCACTTGCTAATAGCACAGCACCATTGGACACATTCCCCGTAAGCGTGTCAATGCAACGGGAGAGATCGTTCAAAATGGAACGCTCTGGTTACTAACGTAACCTCAGTTCGCTGACATAAGGGAATGAGCATTGCGTAGGCTGCTGTGTTATAGAAGGCTGCATGCGAATCAATGGCTGTCACTTCAGTCGAAAGATTCTGACAAAATGGCGCTCAGAGCTCAATGAATATCTTAATGATTTTTATAAAGTAAACATAGAATATGTTAACAAGAATACGTAAACATGTAATCAAATAACTAAACAATATTTTAAGATGAACACTTACTGGACTGAAGCTACTTAAGTTTAATTATCCATACATAATTTTTTCGAAAAATGATATTAAAATGTATTAAATATGATGCATCAAACTTTTAAGGAACATTTATTTGTCAATCTGTCATTCATCATTGTACTTGCATTAAATGTTTTGCCCCACATTAAAAAAAAAATACAGGGTTTTGATCATAAAACTAAATTTCATTGTACCACGCAGGGGTGGACTTAACCAATAAGCGAGGTAACCGGGGAATCAGGGGGCCCCATCTGATACTGGCGAAACATATTTGGCAAACGCTCCACTGTGTATTTGTGTTCTGGAGAGCGAGTTTTTGTCAAGTGCCGAGTTCTGCAAGCTCGCGAATCCTCTCATTAATTTCAAAATGACTCACTTGTGTGCTTTTATGCGCACCGGCGCGAACTGTTGCGCACTCATACAAATGCACGAATGTGATGACTGGAGATTTTCGCTTAATAATAGATTACATTTTCGATTCGTTTCTTGGCAAACCCTAACGTATGCCTTAAGAACACTTGAAATACGGAACAAGTTGCATGGGATAATTTTATTTGAATACTTTTTGTAAAAAGATTGAAGAAGGTTACAATTCATTAAATTCACAAGTGCAAACTTTTTTAAGATAATGTCTTCTTTTGTGATCTGACAAAAAATAAGCCTAGTATGGCTTTAAAACACCATCAGGTTGATTAATTATTTACTTAAGTTGTGAAGAGGTAAATAAAATATTAACTATGAGAGAGAGAGAGAGAGAGCAAAATAAGGGTTAGATGTAAAAGACGACAAAGTTATTGTGTTGGGGCCCCATACCTGAAATTTGCTTAGGTGCCCCAAATCACTAAGTCCGCCCCTGCTACTAAGACATATTATTTGGAGATATAGGGCCCTATTTTAATGATCTAAGCGCAAGGTCTAAAGCGCACGGCGTAGGTGCACTTAGGGCGTGTCCGAATCCACTTTTGCTAGTTTAACGACGGGAAAAACGGCCCGGCGCATGGTCTAAAAGGGTTGTCCCTATTCTATTGATGAGTAATGGGTGTGTTTTGGGCATAACGTGCAATAAACCAATCAGAGTCTCATCTCCCATTCCC